GATGCTAGCCGGGACCTACCAGCCCCTCCTGTGTCCCAGGCACCGTTCCAAGCCCTGTAGATGTGTTAACTCATTTCATGCTCACGGCAGCCCTACAAGGGAGGGGTGCCACTAGCCCCCATTTACGTGTGAGTTAGGGCTGCTCACGTGGGGCCACAGAGCTGAAAGGTGGCAGAGTGGGTCCTTGAACCCTACACCCTGGCTCCAGAGACCGCACTCCAGGTCACGACTCCGAGCGGCCTCTCGGACCCAGCCAGGCGCCACACAGCCTTTCCTCATCCCCTGACTAATGACTGCGTTTCGCCGTTACTTCATTTGCTGTGGCCCTTGTTACTTCCCGCGTTTGCCCCGCATGCTGTCTTGCCGATTACATCACCACCGGCCCCCTCGCTGGGAGCCCGTCTTGCAGGTAGATTGGAGATGGCCTCGTCCCACGGCACCTCTGGCGTGGTTCCCCTTCCTGCTCTAACGCTTGCTTTAAAAAGTCTTATTCGAAATACAATTCCCCTATCAGACAGTTTACCCATGTAAAGCATACAATCCAGTGGATTTTAGAGCATTCACAGCCGTGCATCCACCACAGTCGATCTTAGAAGGTTTCTGTCAGCCTCAAAAGAAGCCCTGTACCCCTTATCCTTGTCTGCATTCCCTCCCGGCCCCACACAGCCGCCGACCCACTTTCTGTGTCTGTGGATCTGCCTGTTCCTGCCACGTCGTCCGAGTGACCTCACATAGCAGGTGGCCTTTTGTGTTCAGCTCTCGCCGAGCGCACGGTGTCAGGGTGCATCCCTGTGGCAGTGCACACCAGACCTTTTTTTCTTGTGAGTAATACTCAACAGAGTATTGGATAGACCACATTTTATTCATCCATTCGTCAGTTGGCGGACATTTGGGTTGTTTCTACTCCTCGGCCGTGGTGAGTAGTTCGCGTACTTATGTCTGGGTGCACGTAGGAGTGAAATTGCGGGATCACACGGTACTTCTGTTTAACCGGTTGAGGTGAAGAACTTTTAATAGCCCCCTCAGACTTCGCAGCCTAGTTTCTAAGGCCCTCTCCACCCGTTCTTGATTTCTGCTCTTCTGAATCACAGACCCGCTGCTTCTGCCAGGCCGGGCTTACCGTTGTCGGACGAACTGTGTGTTGGGGTCTCTGTCCTCTGGTTCATGATATGCACCCCAGCTAGGATGTGGCCCAGGACAGAGTCTGCTCACACATGTATTTCTTTGAGATACACAGCATTAAAAAAAAAAAAATCAATTATTTGTGCGCACTTAAAAATCACGAGATTTCTGGGGCACCTGGGTGGCTCGGTCAGTTAAGCGTCTGGCTTTTGGTTTCGCCTCAGGTCACGATCTCGAGGTTGTGGGATTGAGCCCCGCGTCGGGCTCTGTGCTCCATGCCAAGTCTGCTTCGGATGCCTCTCAGCCATACTGTAAGAACTCTGAAGACCAGAACCCCGTGGGGCCGGGGGAGCTCAGTCATTGTTTCAGTGGGGGATGCTTTGGGCATTTGGGCTGGCACCATTGGCTGGATTGTCCTGCTCTTTCAGGGTTTAGTGTGGCTGCCCAGAGCTGCACCCCCAGGTTCTGGCTGAGAACACAAGAGTCAGACGCCTACTGAGGACAACGGTGCCTTTCTACAAGTGGGCTCCTGGCTCCGTTTCTTGCCCCACGACCCGGCTGCTCCATCAGGCATGACTTCATGTTGGGCTGCATTCAGGGCACACTGTGCCAGTCATGGCTGGTCCTGCTCGCCATGCAGCCGGCATGAGCGAGCACCACAGGCCTGGTTGGCGCAGGTGGCTCAGGACTGGTGCTGAGGACCCTGGGTGGCCCCTGTAGGGGAGTGTGCGGGCCCAAGCAGGTCTAAACTAGGGGCCACTTCTTTTTGCTCCTTTGAATTAAATATTGACTAGATAAAAAAGACTTCTTCTTAAATATGTGTAGCACGAAGAAGTCCGATGTAACAAACACCAGTGTACGCACCAAGCCATTTTTAAAAAAGAGCTTTATTGTGTCCTTCCCCAAATCTTACCCTATTTTCTCTCCTTTACTATTCCAGATTTTGGGTAGGTCACTCCCTTGCTTCTCTTTATTGTTTCTATGTAGGCCTGACTTCCTAGACAATATGTTGTTTAATTTTGTAGAAGACGCATACTGTGTGTGTGCGTGCGTGCGTGTGTGTGTGTGTGTGAGAGAGAGAGAGAGAGAGAGAGAGAGAGTGTGGGTCTTTTTGTTCCTTTATCCTGCGTTCAGGATAATCTCTTCAGATCTGTCTTCCATTGACTGACTCTTTTCACCTGTTTCTAATCCATAAAACCCATCCATTGAATTTCTGATTTCCAATTGCATTTTTCATTTATCGAAGTTCTGTGTACACCGGTCCTCTTATATCCTCTTTTCAGAATTAGTTTTTATGTTAGCAAAGCAAGCGTGTTTCTTTCTGTCCACATTATGATTTTGTGAGTGTGGATGTTCCTGTTCTCTGCTGTCCGGTGTCCCGTGGCGTGGCCGTGCAGCTGCGTCAGATGCCGGGCGTGCAGTGGTGGCAGACCGGTGAGCTCCCACTCTGCCCGAGCTTCGGGTGTGGCAGGGAGAGGACAGACGGACACCGAGTCAGTCAGCTGGGCTTGCGGAAGACAGGGCCCCCAGGAGTGCAGGCCAAGGGGTCCGTGACACCCTCTAGAAACCGAGACCTGAAGGACAGGTAGGAGTTACTGGGTGAAGGAACCAGGCCCGAGTTCCAGCTGATCACACAAGGCCTTTGACAGATGATTACTCCTCCTGCCATGATGTCCGGCGCTCTCCGTGACGCTCTGAGTTGGCCTGGGTGTCGGCAAGCTGGCCAAGTACGACCCATGCCCTGTGCCCTGTTGTGCGTTTGAAGCCTAAGCTGTGAGACTGTGGGATTGTATGTATTTGAGTCCCTGCCGATCGGGCCTCATGCTGAGTTCTGGAGGACGCAGTGTGCTGTCGCTCGTGCTGGCCCCGCTCCTGACTTGGCCTGTACTGGCCTGAGACATTTGACTCTGCCGTCCGGGCTGGAACAGGCGTGGTGGTGGGAGCTGCCCTGCGGGATCCTGGGAGGGCGAGTGGGAGGGGTGCAGTGAGCACCGGGCTGCCACCGCGGGGCTCTGTGCCCTGTGTCCTCGGTGTCATTCTCCCTCACCCGCGCAGTGACCCCGTCCACCTGCCAACCTACTGTCTTCAGCTTAGACACACACACAACGGAACTCGTGGTTCCCCTCCACTGGTCCTCTCCCCCCCCCCCCCCCCCCCCGCCCATCCTTTGCGTAGGCCCCAGTTCTAGCCCCTCCCCTGGGCTCAGGCTGTTCACCGGCGGGCAGCAGCCAGTGACTTCTGATTCCACAACGGATCGTCCACTCCCTCCGGCTCTGCTGCCCCTTCAGCTCCAGCACGGTTGCCTTCCCTCGGGGCCACTGGCGACTGCGGAGCCTCCTCCTCGGGGCACCGCATAGCCACCTCCTTGGGTCACCGCATAACTTCCTCCTCGGGGCACCGCATAGCCTCCTCCTCGGGGCCCTGCATAGTCGCCTCCTTGGGGCACCGCATGGCCTCCTCTTCAAGGCACTGCATAGCCGCCTCCTTGGGGCACCGCATAGCCTCCTCTTCGGGGCACTGCATAACCGCCTCGTTGGGGCACCGCATAGCCTCCTCTTCAGGGCACTGCATAGCCGCCTCCTTGGGGCACCGCATAGCCTCCTCTTCGGGGCACTGCATAGCCGCCTCCTTGGGGCACCGCATAGCCTCCTCTTCGGGGCACTGCATAGCTGCCTCGTTGGGGCACCGCATAGCCGCCTCCTTGGGCGGCTCGTTGCTTCTGCATCGCTTCTTCCCCCAGCGGGAACATACACCAGATCTTGTCTTTTCCTGCCTCAGATTCTCCACTCGCTTCCCGGAACATAGAACCTGGTGCCACCAGCCCCTGCCCCCCTTGGCCTCTCTGTCTTGCTCACCTTCCCATAGACCCCCACAGCCGAGCTCTTTCCTGTCTTGGGGTGTCTGTACCCGAGGGCTCCTTCAGCACAGTCTTTCCCTGGCTTTTTGCTGTGCTGGCCACTCAGCCCTCAGAGGGCCCTCTTCTCTCTCTGTACTTTTTAATTTTTTTAAAAGATTTTATTTATTTATTTGACAGAGAGAAAGAGCACAAGCAGGGGAGCAGCAGAGGGAGAGGGAGAGGCAGACTCCCCGCTGAGCAGGGAGCCCAGCGAGGGGCTCGATCCCAGGACCCTGGGATCATGACCTGAGCCGAAGGCAGCCACTGATCTGGCTGAGCCACCCAGGCGCCCCTCTTTTTTCTTTTTTTTAAGTAGGCTCCATATCTAGCATGGAGCCCAACGTGGAGCTTGAACTCATGACCCTGAGATCAAGATCTGATCTGAGACCAAGAGTCAGACACCCAACCGATTGAGCCACCCAGGCGCCCCTGTAATTTCTTTACTGACTTACTAGTGTTTTCCTTCCTTCCCACCAAAAGCCGAGGGCAGGGACCTCCACACCTGCTCGCGGCCTGCACAGCTGTGCCCTTGGTGTTGCGGTGGCCGTTGTCAGCCCCATTTAATGGCAGCGTGCAGAAACAGACCAGATGTCAGGGAACGCCCAGGATCACACAGTACTAAGCGGCACTGACACCTGCCGACGGATGCCTGGGGAGGGGCAGGAGTCTGGCCACACATCTGCAAATAAATGTCCTCTGGCCTTTGCTGGCACCAGACCCTTCCCCATGCAGATTCCTGGGAAGGCCCAGGGAGTTTGACAGCTTTGCTTAGAATGCTCAGAGACACCCTCCTTCCTTCGCTTGTTAATGCTCTGGCATAAGTCGTTTTTGTAAGCTCTCTGGCTCTGGGGGATGAGGACGCCGGCTGCAGGGTGGGTGTGCAGGGCAGGGGTGCGGGGGAGGGTGTCCAGGTGCACGTCTGGGAGGTGGGGCATCTTGCCCATTCTTTACAGCCCCTGCTCCCCCTCCTCCTCCTGTGTAGGCCGCACCAGCTTCTATGAGGAGTACGGCGTCATTCGCGACGTGCTCCAGAACCACCTGACAGAGGTCCTCACTCTTGTGGCCATGGAGCTGCCCTACAACGTCAGCAGCTCAGAGGCTGTGCTGCAGCACAAGCTTCAGGCCTTCCGGGCTCTGCGGGGCCTGCAGAAGGGCAGTGCCGTCCTGGGCCAGTACCAGGCGTATGGCGAGCAGGTTCGCAGAGAGCAGCAGAAGCCAGACAGCTTCCACAGCCTGACGCCGACCTTCGCAGGTGGGCCCTGGGGCCGCGCAGGGGCTGTCCCCCACCGGAAGCAGCTTTCCAAGTCCAGACGCCCTTTGGTTTGGGTTGGAAGAGACCTCAGGTGGGACATTCACAAGGGTGCTCGTCGCCAGGGAGGAAGGTCCTTCATTTCTCTGGCCTTCCACGGTCTTTCAGTGGCAGCTCACCTGTTGGGTTGTTCTGGGTGAAGGGTGGTGACCCCAGTGGTGGTCTCAGTTCAGTCTGCATCCACACACACTTCCAGAGCAGGATTCAGACCTGGCTCCCACCTATAGCCAGCCCCCCACCCCCACCCCAAGTGAGGCTACAGATCTGCCCGGCCACAGCCCAAGGCACCTCCGGCAGGCAGTCTCCCTGCGGCTCAGACAGATGTCCTCTCAAGCCATGCTATGGACAGTTCCCCGGGCCCAGAGCGTTCCTGGAGAGGGCTGGCCCCCTAAGGCTGCAGGTAATAAATTCCGCTACAAGAGCAGCAGCTGTTTATGGGGCACTTACGACGTGCTAGGCACTTGATACACGCTACCTCACGTAACCCTCGGGTGCACAAACCCATGGCACAGGTGTGATTACTACCCCCATTCAAAGGTCAGGAAACCAGAGGCTCTGTGAAGTTCAGAAACTTGCTCAAGGTCATGCAGAGATCGTACATGGGAAAACCAGGCTTGGAACTCAAGTCAGGAGTGCACTCAGCCCTTGGTTCCTACCACCATGCACCCGCCCGCTGCAGGCCCCCTTACCCGCACACCACCCTGCTGTTGGCTCAGAGCCCCAGCCCCACCCCTTCTCCGCTGTCTGGCTTGCCTCCGGCACGTCTGGGTGCTCTACAAGCGGGAGGGAGGCATGGCCCCCTCCCTACCATGAGACTTCAGTTCTCTTTGCTTGGGGCAGGGGAAGGCCAGGCCTCTAAGGCGCCTCACGGAGGTGGGTGTCTGAGGTGGCCCCGAGGCTGCACTTCAAGCACTGACTTGGGGGAGAAGATGCTAGAAAGGCTGAGCATAGCAAGGCTGGGGGTGCTCCAAAGGCAGTGGGCTGCCCAGAGGAGGGGCTCAGAGAGGAGAAGGGCTGGTGTGGAGGGAAGGAAGGGAAGGCGGGTGCACTGGCAAGTCCTGGGTTCTCTGTGCTCGAGTGTCACCTCTGCTGTCCCCTGTCACCTCAGGCATCCTTGTTCACGTAGACAACCTTCGCTGGGAGGGCGTCCCTTTCTTCCTGATGTCTGGCAAGGCCATGGATGAGAGAGTGGGCTATGTGCGGATCTTGTTCCGGAACCAGGCTTACTGTGCCCAGAACGAGAAGCGCTGGGTGGCAGACCAGAGCCAGTGCCTGCCTCGGCAGATCGTCTTCTACATCGGACACGGTGAGCTGGGCAGCCCTGCTGTGCTGGTCAGTCGGAACCTGTTCAGGCCCTCTCTGCCCTCTGAGAGCTGGAAGGAAGTGGAGGGCCGGCCCGGGCTCCACCTTTTCGGCCGCCCTCTGTCGGATTACTATGCCTACAGCCCCGTGAGGGAGCAGGACGCCTATTCTGTCCTCATGTCGCACATCTTCCACGGCCGCAAGGACTCCTTCATCACCACGGAGAACTTGCTGGCCTCCTGGGTTTTCTGGACCCCCTTGCTGGACAGCCTGGCCCACGAGGTCCCGCGCCTCTACCCAGGAGGAGCCGAGAGCGGGCACCTGTTGGACTTCGAGTTCAGTGGCACCCAGTTGCGCTTTTCCCGGCAGCAGCTGGAGCAGCTGGTGCCGGGCCCAGGTTCCGCTCCAAAGCCCAGCGACTTCCAGGTTCTCCGGGCCAAGTACCGGGAGAGCCCGCTGATCTCGGCCTGGCCTGAGGAGCTGATCGCGAAGCTGGCTGATGACATCGAGGCCACAGCTGTGCGGGCGGTGCGGCGCTTTGGCGAGTTCCACCTGGCGCTGTCCGGCGGCTCCAGCCCCGTGCCCCTGTTGCAGCAGCTGGCCACCCGGCACTACGGCTTCCCCTGGGCCCACACGCACCTGTGGCTGGTGGACGAGCGCTGCGTCCCACTTCGGGACCCTGAGTCGAACTTCCAGGGCCTGCAGGCTCACCTGCTGCAGCACGTCAGGGTCCCACACTACAACGTCCACCCCATGCCGGTGCATCTGCACCAGCGCCTCTGTGCCGAGGAGGACCGAGGCGCCCAGATGTACGCCAGCGAGATCTCGGCCCTGGTGACCAACAGCAGCTTCGACCTGGTGCTGCTGGGCATGGGCACAGACGGGCACACGGCCTCCCTGTTCCCGCAGTCGCCCGCCGGCCTGGAGGGCACGCAGCCGGTGGTGCTGACCAGGAGCCCCTCCAAGCCGCACCAGCGCATGAGCCTGAGCCTGCCCCTCATCAACCGCGCCCGCAAGGTGGCGGTCCTGGTCATGGGCAGGCTGAAGCGTGAGATCACCATGCTGGTGAGCCGCGTGGGCCATGAGCCCAAGAAGTGGCCCATTTCAGGTGTCCTGCCTAGTTCTGGCCAGCTGGTTTGGTATATGGACTATGAGGCTTTTCTGGGATGATGGTGCCTTTGGCCTTTGCTTGCTCCCATGCTTGCTTTCCCCTGTACTTTCCCCTTCCCCTAAGACCTGCCACCTGTCCTGGCTCTCTGGGACCTGATGCCTCAGGATGAAGCCCCCGGAGAGGAAAGGACAAGGCCTTACCCCAATCCCTTTGACAGTCTGTGTCTAGTTGTGGTGGGCAGACGCAGACGCAGACACGAGGAAGAAATGGAGTCTGCTCTTGAGAAGCTTCCAGTCCAAGTCAGGAGAGAAATACCCACCTTAAGAACATACCAGCAGCAGTTACACAATAACACCAGCCAGCCCAAAACAGGACGGTGTGAGAGCTCCCAACTTCAGTAGAAATGCAATGGCTAGGGTTAATCAGGGAAGTCTTCCTGGAGGGGGTGATCCTTGAACTGGCTCCTGTGGAAAAGAAGGCTGTGGATAGTAGAGAGAGGGGAGCACGGGTTCCAGCAGGTACAGAGCCCACACGAAGCAGGTGCTAGAAACTGTCCAGAGACCTTGAGTTGGCTGTTTCTTCTGTCCCTGTCCTTCTTCCTGAGCCCCTGACACTTAGCCTACTGTCCTGGCCTCTGTGTGGTTGCCTCCTCCGCTCTCTCTGGGTTCCCTTCCCCTCTGTCTCCCTGCTGTCCCCCAGACGGATGAAGGACGGTAGCAGGAACACAGCAACAGACACTAAGAAGTTCCCAGAAATCTTGCAGCTGTTGTTTGGAGCTCCCTTTCTCAGTAGATGGACTTCTCTGTGTGGGGGGAGGCCCCCTGCCCACTCTCCCTTCTCTAGCCAACCCCCTTCGTGATACACAGTGGGCATAGATGATTCGGCCATTCCAGGGATCCCTCGCTCCAGAGGGTCCTTTACACCTCAGGGGAGGTGGGTGTTTCCACTCTCAGTAGACCCTGTTGCTTTACCAGGAAAGATCCGGTTAAGCCTTTCTGTGATGGGGACATGTCATTTGTGGGGAGAGCTGTGATGGAAATGGTCCAGACCCTGCAGGTGCTCTGATCTGATCAGACAGGAGCTGGGCCGCCAGGCAGCGCTGGCTGCCCACGAGCTTCTCAGGGACCTGGCCGGCCCCCGCCCCCCTCACACTACCTCTCGGGGGCGTGGAGCCCACCTGCTTGCTGTCTGCTGGCCTCTCCTGTCACCGCGGACACACCGACCCCCCTGGGAAAACAACAGGTAGCTTCTGTTCAGAGGAGGTTGGGTGCTCTGTTCTTGATTAGCGCCGGGCCAGTAATAGTGTGTGGGGGGCTGTCTCTCTGAAATTCTTTTAAAAAAATATTTTCACACACGTAATTAGTATTTCAACTTCCCACGTCTTCGTGCTCCCAAGACAGGGCTGTAAAGGAATGAGACCCGATTTTTCCTGTGTGACTGCCTGACAGCTTGTATCAGGTGTTGATGTCACCCTGAGGGCTTTCCTTGGTGAGGGGGAGCATCGCCAAATGTATTTCTCTGCTTCTGAGTGTTGACACTTTCTGCAAGGCTGCATATAAAGCATTCTGGGGCCTGAGCTGAGGGTTCTCTATGTGAAAGGCACTGCTGTTGAAAGCCCCCTGGCCTCCCACGACCCGTCTGGACAGGACATCTCTCCTTACACCGAGAGAGCTAACCTCGGCAAAGCAGAACACCAGTGCCCGGGTCGGGAAGGGGGGGGGGGGGGGGGGGGGGGGGGTTTTTTTTTTTGCTTTTTTTTGCCTCTGGGGGCCAGCACTCACGAGGGGACACGCGTGGTTGTGTGGCCACGTGGGGGCGCTCTTGCACCATCCCGGCCCTCCCTGCGCGAGCCCCTGGCCTTGAGCTCTCCCCCATGTGTTCTTCAGGAACTTCATCCTCTGTGGTTGCAACACTGACAGAAAGGGACCTCCACGCGCCCAAGAATCACTCCAGCGTGTGGGCCAGCAGGCCCTTGATGTCACCATTTCTGAATAACAGTGAGTCAGTGTGGACCTGAGCCCAGGACCTCCCCTCTGAGAGGAGGACCTTGCCTCAGAACCCAGCCTTCATCTGTGGAGCATACGTCAGGGGCAAGGGTGGGGCAGAGGTGCCAAGTGCTGTCCTGAAGTCACACCACAAAAGTCCCCTGTGTCCCGTACTGAGAAGGAGAGTCTCAGAACTGGGCCACCGAAACTGATGGTGTTCCACCTTTCTGGACCACGATCCATGGCCAGAAGCACACCTTAGCTCAGGACTCCCGGCATCACATTCGTGTGTGAGTCTGCCTCACGCACAAGTTCCGTGAAGGAATTCTTAACCTTAGAACGTGAGATACCCTCCAGTTTCTATTTTTCATGTTTGAGAAATGCTGCTTAGAACCTACTAGATTGATACATGGTTTGAAAAATGCTGCTCTAATCCAACTTCACCCCGTGTCTGAGCCGAGGGCCCGAGGTGCGGAAGGGAGCACGTGTGTCCGGCTCACACGGGGGCCGCTAGGGAGCACGTTGGGACGGGAGCCTGGGCTTTCCATCCCTGCGGCTTCGTGCCGCGGGCCCATCTGGCGCAGCGAGGCTGCCGTGGCCCCTGGGGTGGGTGCTCAGCTCCCTTCCCCACGGGGTCGATGAGGCCGGCGCGACACGCTGCTCGGTCTCCTTACTCTCTCAAGCACCCTGTGAGGAAAGCGGAGGCGTCCTTGTTTACGGATGACTTTGACGCTGGAACTGAGGTTGTCCGACAACAACAGGCCAGGGTACCAGCCCCGTGGGTGCCCCCTCCTTCCCAGGGACCTCTCCGTGCCCGGAGGAGCTGTCACGGAGTGGCGGGCGGAGGCCCGTGTGCCCTCGTGGACCTGGGAGAGGTGGGCCCCCCCCCAGCGATTTAGCATCTCTAGAGCGAGCACCTCACCGTTTGTCATGGGGAGAGGACGGAGGGACTTTCCAGGTTGTTGTAAGCTAGGTTCTGAGTTTGATCTGGGAGCACAGTTCTCTGCTAACCGCAAGTTAAAATAGTCGCGTTGACCTTCCCTGCTTCTTGTTTCTCTGCAGACAGAGCTTTATTCCCACCCTGGGCCTCCAGGTTAGCGGCCTGGGGGTGCAGAGTGCTCCCCCAGGGTCGTCTCCCCGGAGGCACAGGCCTGCTGTCCCCGGGCCCAGAGCTCACTCCTGCTTTGCCTCGCGCCCTGCTTTCCCCGTTTGTACAGAGCGCTGAGGGCAGTGTGACATAGAAAGGAGGGGAGAAGCTTCCACAAGACCTTAAGGGGTGGTTTCCTGCAGTTTAGTTTTCAGGAATAACAACAGAAAAATTTATTTTCAACAAAAACACATGCAGCCTCACATAAGCACACTCTTGTCAGTTTTATCCAGTTAGATTTTTATCCTAAGCAGACGGGACCCTGCAGACCTTAGGCCACTTGTGGGGAAGGTGCCTGGCGGCGTGTTCGAGAACGCACAAGGCACAGGGCCCCGGGCGCCCGTGGTGGCCGGCCAGCGCCATCCCGCCCGGCCCCTTGAAAGACAAACACGGAAGGCTGAGGGCCTTGAGAGGGCGGATCACGGCGGGGGCTTGGGGGGGACGGCTCAGTTGGTCTGCGTGGCGCTCAGAGGCTCTGCGCACACAGCCGGTGTCGCCTGTTGCAAGTGTGGGTTTCTTCCCGTGTGCGCCCTGCCTGCCCTTGTTTCCCTCCGCCGACCGGTGGCTCACCCGCGCCGCCGGCTCTGTCCAGCTTCCGTCTGGTGTTTCCAGCCCGGTGCCTGAAGGGGGCGCTAGCGTGCGGCGGGGCTGGCCTATGTCACACCCTGTGCAGTCTCCATACGAAGCGACGGCCCCTTCGTGCCCTGTCAACCACTAGGGCAGAGCGCCGCCCCCGTTCAGAGCGGTCTTTCCGCCACACAGGTCTTCACCGGCTGGAGCAAGCGGGGTCTCAGCCCAGCATGTGTTTCTGGGGACGTGCGGTGGCAGAGGTCTTCTCCAGAGGCGGCGCTTGGTGGCCTCCAGGGGTGGGTTGTGAGCGCGGCTTCCACGGCTTGTGGCTAAGCGAGGTGCCAATTCACAAGTGCCGTCGCCAGCACAAGACAGAAACAGCAAGAGATTGGAGGAGGCATTTCGGAAATTCTAGTGATTCCGTCGGGGAAACTTCCTCCCAGGGCAGCTTCAGGAGCTCCTGTTTGCCAAGCAGACCCCTGGGGACCGTGTCTGTGCGTGACCTGAAGGCGGCCAGGGTGGGGGTCTAGGGGAATCATGTTGATTCCCTAGGATGGTCTCTGTCCCAACCCCTTGCCCTGCTCTGGGGTGTTTTGCAGGAAGTCTCTGCATCTTTTCTGTCCCTCTGGTGTAGGGCCAGGCAAACACATTTTCATTTGCTGAGAGCCCAGGGGAGCATATTTGGATGGCTAGTAGTTCGCTTTGAAAGTGGAAGTGTAAACAGACACTTCATAAATTATAAACGTTACAAAACGTCGTGAGATACTTAACTAGGAAAGGACAGGACCCTGGGTTAGCTCCGATTGAGGGTCCAGAGCGCATCCAGCTCTCCGAGGTGTGACCTGTACGGTCCCCTCCTCCTGGTCCCGCAACCAAGGGCCGAGTGTAGGGCCTTGTCTCCAGCCAGGAAGGCCGAGCTGGTCCAGAGCCAGCAAGAGACCTAGATGGGGCGTGGGGCCAGCATGGAAACCAGGGTGTGTTGCAATCGGGACCGTGTCCGGGCGGTCTCTGTCCCGTGCTGGGACACTCTGTACTGGGCTTCTGCCCGGCGAGCAGAGTGGCAGGTAGGCTCCTTTCTCAGAGGGACTGTGTCCTTTGTGTGGTGCAGTGGGGAGACTGTAGGCGTGAGCCCCCTCTCTGCCAAGCGGCAGTGATGTGCCTTGTCTTCTTGCACAAAGAGAAACTGCCCCTGGTTTTTATGGAAGCGGCAGACACTTAACGATGTCTCAGACAGTGAGACTCATTCAGAACAGAGTTTTTAAAAATGACTTTTTGTATGTCAAATGTAACATTTATTTTTTAAACAATAAAATTGTTTTGCCAAAGTCCGTGTTTTCCTTTTTCTTCTGGGAGACGGGGTGCGTGGGTTACGGACCTGGTTGTTGTGCTGTGTGTGGAGCTTGGCGGAGGGGAAGGGACAGTGAGGTCCCGAAGGGAGGACCCGCGAACGTCCCACTGCGCACACGGGGGTGTCTGGGCAAACCAGCCACATGCCATTTGCTTGAGGCCCACAGTCCTCCCAGGAGAGACCGCGGTGGGCCAGGTGACCGGATTCATGTCCCTCAGCCGTCCCCCCAGCATTGCTGGCAGCCTACCAGCTGGGGAAGCCCTTGGCCGGAGGGAGACACCAGGAGGGAGCCTCCCCTCTGAAAGCCGCAGGGCCTGATGCCATTGTTGGCCTCTGTGCCCTCTGCCTGATTCTCACCTCCCACCTGGGTCGTGTTCCCAGGAACATAAAGATTTTGGGGGGAGTCAAATAAAACTGCAGAACCACAGGGGGTAGAGGAGCCAGAGATTTGCTGGTTGTGGGACCCAAGCAGAGTGGTGACCTCACAAGGCAGCGACAGGAACCACAGGCTCATGCGGAAGGGGTGATGTCCCCAGGGACCAAGAGGCACGGGGGGCAGACACACACCGAGAGTCCCCAGGGGAAGAAGGGAAAGGCCCGTGGGCAGTAAAGAAGGCTGGAAACCAGAGGCTGCAGTCAGCCCTTGGCTGTCTCTGCCTGGGAAGCACATGGAGAACAGGCTTCCTGGAGGAGGCGGCCCAGGGCTCGGGGAGAAACCAGTGTGGGTTTCCCACTCTCTGCCGGGACGGTGGTGGTGTCCTTACAGAAACCTGGGGAGGCAGGCTCCCCGCCTACCAACACTCGAGACATTGGGGCCCCGCTAGCGCCTATGATGGCAGCACTGGAGAGGCACGGGTACCTGCCCCTGCCCCACCTTGGGGAGCCTCCATGTACTTGTGTTCGGGGGTCCTGGTGGGTCAAGACACCCAATGCCCACAGCTGCAGTGACTGGTTCAGGGGGACCTGTGGCCCAAGTTGGTCAAATCAGAGTGAACTCAAGGATGGGGGCCGAAACTCCCCCATGTCTCTGGCCCCCAACCTGAGGGCGAGTTGCCCTGGAGCTGGCGGCGGCCCTCTGCCCACCACGGGGAGCCTGAGAGTGAGGGACCTGGCAGAGAGCAGAGCCAAGCAGCCCTCCCCAGATTCCAGGCATGCCGGGATTCTGCCTGCCGACCATTCATTTGCGGGTGCTTCGGTTCGTGAAAATAGGGCTGTCACCCGTGGTGGGGAGTGCACAAGAGGCCTCGCAGCTGGGGGGTTGTTGGGTGTTTCAGGAAGCCCAGCAGAAACCCAACGCTGACCCGGGAGGTGGCTGGGGCCAATCAGGAGGCCAGATCTCTCTGTCTGGGGCCAGGCTTTCATCAGCCCCGGGGAGGCCCCACCAGTGCTGGCTGGCCCAGGGCTATACCATGTTGGCTGTTGGTTATTGCTTCATCTGGGCCATTTTTCCTGATTGATCAAAGTTTTGGCAAAGCAAGTCAGAAGGGCAGAAGCCAGGGATGGGCAGATAGTCGAAGAAGCTCTTGGTGGACAAGCTCAGGAAGCGCTGGCCTAAATAAATGTCCTTTCCTGAGTCTCCTCCCAGCTCTGCGGAACCACAGCCAGAGCCCTGGAGGGCGTCCACTTGCCTGCCGGGCCCCCGGCAGAAGGGGTCGGTGTGGCTGGGCGCCCCTGGCTGCCCTCTGTTCTCTCCCCCATCTGCCCAGATGTCCACCGAGGACCAAGACCGCAGAGGCTCTGGACATCTGCGGGGCAGTAAATGTGTACATGAATGGCTGGAGGGCGATCATGAAAGCCGGGCAAGAATCGGCAACTACTGAGCAGGGCCACCCCAGCAGGGGCCTGAGGGTGAGTCTCCAAGAGAGGCTCAGGAAGGTCAGCTGTGGGCCCTGAGGCTGGTGTCTGTGGGTGAGGAGAGAACAGGGCTGGCGCCTGGGACCGCGAGGCTTCCACAGGGCGCGGTTGGCAGAGCTTCTCAAAGCCAGGGTAGCCGATGCGAGAGGCCGATGGGTAGAGGACAAAGCGGGCATGGCTGAGGGGAGAGTGGCACGTGTCATCACCTCGGGGGGACACTGCGTCTCCCGTGTTGACAGTGGGCTGGAGTGGCTGCAACGGGGGCCAGCGCTTATATTGGGGTGACGGGGGGCATGACAAGGGGTCAAGGTCTGCCCCCCACGCTTGGGACTTTGCCGCTTGCTGCAGGCGGAGGGCAAGGCCAGGAGGACAGTGCGGCTGCCGGACATTGGCAGGTGTGACACCCCCACTGGGCCTCGTGGACACTGTCATCATATTTTTTGTTTGAAGAGGCATCGTTGGAAATAAAAACCACAGAACTAGGCTCATGCTACCGGTTACACCCTCCCTGCCTCTCTGTATGCATTTATTTTTAACTGAAAGAAAAGCTGATACAGAAAAGCAAAGGTAAGAACACTTGTCCCCACAGATCACCTCCACTCAGCATTAACCACTGTAAGATTTTTGCATATTGGCTTTTTTGGGGAGAAAAACAAAATAACACATGTTTTTATAAAAATAACACATTCTTGCTACAACTGAATTCTAACAGCGCCCAAAAGTACACAAACAAAATGTGAAATAATAATAATAATAATAATAATAATAATAATAATAATAATAAATTCCCTGCGGTTCAGTCCCCCGGAAATGAGCAACAGTGGCATTAGGTGAACTTCTTGCAAGACATGGATACAGATAGAAGAGATTAAAAATATTTTGTAAAGATAGGCTCCTTCTCTTGAAGGTAATTTCAATTTCATTAGTGCACTAATAATTTTACTTGAATTTGAAGACGCTGCTGAACTCCACATAAATACTTGGTCACACAAGACATACTGTATCCGAAAAGGTCCCTTGAATATGAGAAGTGTCTGAAAACATTAAGAGGCTGGAGTCCTCACTGGTTTTTAACGTGGCTTTTTAACTCCATGCCCCAATTTCAATTTGGGGGTCTGCTGACTTCTAAAGGTGGAGACATTGGCTCTCACACAGCTTCCCATCACCTGCCAGCCCCCCCTCCCCAGGCTCTGGATTTTGGTAGCTCTATGATTTTTATCCTGCTGTTGCCCAGGGTCCCTAATTGTTTCTCCCAGTTGACTCTCTGTCTGACGTTGCCTCCTGTGGGCTCCTTGCCAAACCGCATCACACTTCTGACACCCAAACTCCCCTTCTCCCGTCCGGGAACACAGAGGCATAACTGTATCTCCTTTGTCTCCTGAATGTGCACCCTCCCTCTCTGTGCCCACTCTCATCGAGGCCGGGGCTCCACCATGTGCTGGCTGCATGCATCCCTCCACCTGCACTTTCGGGGGCCACAGGCTGCCCACACAGCCCTGCACCACCCAGCCTTAGGGGGTCAGGCCCCAGAGAAAGGGGTGCTCGGTTTAGATATTGAGCAGCTGCTGGCCTAAGGCCAGGCTCTGTTCCAGCCTAGGGCACCCCGCAGGGACCAAAGACCCTGCCTTCATGGAGCCTGTGCTTCTCGTTCTCTCAAGTCCTCCCTCTCTCCTTTATTTGGGGTTCACACCCCATCTTCACGAAACACCTGCCCCTCCTCAGCCACTTTTGCCAGTTCTCACCATTCCAACACCGAGACTGTTTTGCAGGAATGCCCTCCGCACTAGCAGATTTCTTAGTGGCCTCCTAGCTGCATCCGTCCACCTGCGCTGCTCCGTTAGACGTGCCCTTGAAGGTCACTAGTGACCTCCTACTGGACACGGCCATAGCTCGGAGCTCGTGGCCACAGTAAGAGGCCACTGCCACCACAGCAGCAGCTAATGCAGCTCAGGTAAAAGACTTCGCTTTGCTCATCAGTAACCAAGGCAACAAGGGGTTCCCTAACTTGCCCAAGGTCACAGCTACCAAGTGGCAAATCCCCTAAGGTCTGTCTGATCCGAGTCAACCCCCTTAACTAGGGGGTCATCTCAGGAGCAGATGCTCCGGGAAAGAACACGCTGCCATTGGGTAAACCAGCAGCTCTCAGCCAGTGGCCAACCCGCGGCCGGGCCATCTGCACTTCCCCAGCCTCCCTCAGACCCGCGGCCCTGGGCTCCAGCTGAGAGAGGGGCTCCACTCTGGTCGCCTCTCACTTACTCTTCCCAAGAGCTTGTTCCCGCTGATCACAGCAGAGAATATCATTAAGCCAGGGAGGTAGTAGGTGGGGACCATTGTCACTAAGACCTGCTGGCTGCACCAAACTCGGGGGGACTTGGCCACTGACCTTGAGAGAAAAGCAGGGGCCAGGCAGGAGGGCGACTCCTCTGTTTTCACCGCTGTCACTTCCTCCTCATTTAGCCCCTCCGTTAATTCAACTACGAGGGCTGCAAAGCTGAGGTCTCTTCCCTTCCCACTTCGAACCAAGAGGGAAAGCAATTCGTAAAGGTGAATTTTCTACCCTTTGGATTTCTAGTTATGGATAAAAATACCATAAAAACCCGTGAAATGGGAAAAATTATCCACAATGCCTGCCCACCACTCTACCTATTGTTCTCGGGTTCAGGGATGCCCCCCCAGGACAGTTTATCTTTGCCATCCCAGGCTTCTTTATGCTGCTTTATGGTAGGCACATGTTTTCACGATCATTCTCCGTGTTTCCTCATGTCTTCATAGTTGGTTTCCACGCGTGCATCACAGCCCATGGAACGGAAGCGTCCTGATGCACGTTCCTACCCCTGTCACTGAACATGGGTATTATTTCTAGCATTTGCCCTCTGGAGGTAATGCTGTAACAAGAGGTTTTTATACAGCAAAATTCTTTTAAACGTATGGAAATGTGGGGTTTAAAATGACCCAGTAAACATGACTGACTTTGTAATCGGACAACAGACTCATAGGACAGCAGTGAAACCACAGCCCAGGAAGAAAAGGAGGGGAGAGTTTGAAGGCAGGAGGAGGGAACGCTGCAGGTCAGCTGGGGTCACCTGCCGGGCTGCAGGCCAGGGAACCAGCCCCAGAAATCCT